CAGCTGCACCTCGAGCTGAATCCATCCCCAACCCAGGGAAAGGCTCAGGGCAGGCCCCAGTTTCTGCCGTAGCTTTGGGATGATTTTTGTGTGCACCGAGGATCAGGTGTGAAGAGGGTGGGTTTGTAGAATCCCTCCTCATCATCCCACATGCCAAAATCCTTGGGAGAACCGGGCTCGGAGGGTCGGGGTGGCAGCGAGGGAGGCTGGGTGTCATCCTCCTGCCTGCAGGCACAGAGAGGTTTCTTTCCGGTGAAGGAATTGAGAATTTTGGTGGAAATTCAAAGAGTGAGAAGCTCTGGCGGGGATCCAGGCTATGCTGGCGCTTGGGGTTTCAATGAGAAAGAGAGAGAAAGGAAAAAAAAAACAAAAAACCTGAAACTTTCCACAGGAAGCAGGCACTTCCCACAAAACATGGATTTAGTAGGTGGTCTGGCAGTGGTACCAGTAAAAACCAGTTTTGGCCACCAGTTCATCCCAAAGTGGGACCTGTGGGTCCCCTGCAAATGCCACTCACCTGGGGCAGGAATATTGAATTTAGAGGCCCAGTGTCACTTTTCCCAAATTAATTCACATCCAAACTGCCCCAGCCTCTGGTGTCCCTGTCCCTGCTTGTCCATCCCTCTGTCCATCCTTCTTCCCTCCCTCCCTCCCTTCCCAATCCCTGCCTGGCAGCTCGGCCTCCCCAGAGGCAGCATTTTATCAGCTGTGGGTGAAAATATTTGGTGTTTATCCCTTGCTTATCTTGCCAAGGGTCTTCTGGGGCCTGATTAGGGGTGGCAAAGCTGATGTTGAGCTTGGAGAAAAAGGATCTCATGCCACAGGGAATTCATCCTTTGGGCACGCTCTGAAATCCATCCCAGCTCCCCGGGGCCAGGGGTGATGCCAAGGTTTGATGTCCACCCTAGGAAAGGACAATTCCTCCCTAACTGAGCGAGGATTGAGTGATTCCTGCTGGCAGTTCCTGCGTGCCCCCGTTCCAGGGGGCTGCTGGGGAGTGGGAAGCTCCATGATTTAAGCAGCAGCTCCCCACAGACCTCACGGAGCCGTATCCATCCCCCCCTCCCCTGCCCGGGAGCTTTGTTTCCAACTCTCCTGTGCATCCAGAGGAGAATTAACTGCTTTGGTGTGTGTGGCCCTGCGTTTGCACATGGAAAAGCCAAGTAAATAGATGAGATTGCTGGGGAAACTTCAGAGAAAAATCAGCCACAGCTTCTCCCACCTTCCCCTCCCTGGGGTTCCTGAGCATCCCCGAGTAGAGCTCGCAGGATTCTCTCCACCCACACTTTTTTTTTTTTCTCCTTACTTTAAGCTCTTCCCACCCTCTCTCCCCGCAGTGTTTCACCCTCCTCCCTTCCCAAATTTGCTTTCCCAAATTTGCGGCCGCCCTGGCGGGGAGGGGGCTGCGAGGGGCCGGGATGCTCCCGCAGCCCCGCGGGGTGGGAGCGCTCCCCCGGGCTGTGACTCAGCGCGCTCGGCTCTTCAGGAATTCAGGGATTTCAAGGGATTTCACACCCCAAACACAAACCCCAGCTTTCTCTCGC